AGATCCGGACGATTCCGGATCTCCTAACCTTCCGCCGCGCCCTCAAGACATGGCTTTTTCAACAAGCGGGACTGACCTAGGGTGAATTTTAAATAGGGAATAATTTTTAAAAATTTTCAAAGATTTTAAATATGACACAGCTATTAATATATTTGCTTTTTAATTGGTTTTATAGGGGAAATGTTTTTTTTTTTTGTGTGTTGTTTTTTAACATGCTGTGAGCCGCCCTGAGTCCCTCTGGGGAGAAGGGCGGCATAGAAGTTTAAATATAAATGAAGATTTTTCTTTCAACACCACTATTCAGTTAAAAGCAGACTGAATCTCTCCCTTTCCCTTTCCCTCTCTCCTCTCTTTCCCTTAGCGATTTGTTCTGGACATAGTGAAATCAGTTTAAACACTGTAAAAGAGATCAAAGACAAGATTAATAGCTTTACTTTCAAATAGGTCCCAAAGTCGTCTCTTTTTTTCAGTTTTTCCAAGTAAAAAATAGCAGAAGTATAAGTCAGACAGTATATCTGGTGGCTCTGGCACAGGTTGCCTTGGAAATGCTGAAAGATAAACAAAATACCAGGCACTTACTGTTAGAGTACAAAGCATACTGTGCTTTTTTTTTTTTTTTAAATGCCTTGACATTTTTACCTAGCCATGATGCTGAACTTTGTATGCATTAATACTAATTCTTTGATTATGATTGTTACAAAAACAAAAGTACAGTGAGCATAATCCAGCCTTATTGCAAGGCTTAAAATAGTAAGCGCATTAGTTTAGGAGGTTCCATTGATTTTAGTTAAATTTACTGTATTTCTCAGGAAATAGGCATAGGATCATGGAAACTATTGGTTCTCTTTGGCTTACAAAAGGAAACTATTACCAAAACCTCATTTTATCAGACCTTAATCCTTAATGCAAGGGAGATTGCATATGAAAGACCAAATTTCTGCTGTGATTTGTATATTTTGGATAATCAGAGATTTACTCAACTGGCATGATTTGTATGATGTACATCATAACTTAATCACACAAATCATATAAAACTGCCATGCTCTACTCTCCCATTCAATTGACTGTTCTCAATAACAGAGACATTTCTCCCAATTAATCTGTTAAAGCAAGATTTCACTGCTGTGGTGGTCTTGTATTTAGTTGTCCAAACAGATCTATCCAAATGCCAGATTTCCATTTTCCTCATCATAGCCACAATAACCAAAGACTTGGAGCCTGAAGACTTATGAGCACCAAAATATGCTGGATATTCAGAAGTCAACAGACTGGGAAAAACAAATGATCATAACTAGAGGAAAGGAAGCCACTTTGAACGCTTGTGGCTATAATACCTTTTATGTGGCATCGGGTGATTTGAGACTAAAATAACAGAATTGTGGGTTTCTTTAGGAGAATTAAAACTTCTGCTTTCCAACATTTATTACCAAGTTCATAACTGAATGTGTTCAGTAACTTATTACCTTTGTGAGTACACCGATGAAATCAAGGGAGGGTGTTCGCCTGAGAAGATGATCTTCAATGGTGCTAAATAAACTGGTTACAAAACTTAGAGTCACCTAAGCAAAGAATAAATTTATTATTTTATAATAATTTTGGATTAAATACTAGACTTTAAGATATACAAAATATGAGGATTTGTAAGATTTATCAGTGAGGGGGCGGCATATAAATTTAATAAATGAAATAAATAAAATGAACCACATTCCTTTCCATTGAAGCTACTGATGCCTGTAGGCTGGAAGTGGACAGCCTCTGCAAAAAAAAAAAAGTGGATTGGATTAAAAACTGAAGAGGGGTCTCTTTATGCAGCAGGGAAAGACCACACCATCTGCTACAATTGGGGCTTGAAAATGGTTTAGAATGTGTCTGTGTAATTGGCAGGAAGCACCACAACCACATAGACAAAAGGCTATTTTTCCTGCTAGTTTTCCTAAGCGTTACTTGTACTTCTATTCCACTTCAATGCTCAATTCTCAAGCCTAGTTGTTTCACTGCAACAGAATTTGTCCTGGTTTTTTGGTGCAAGTGACTTCAATCATTTCCCCAGATCATTCCTCAGGCAGCCAAATTAGGCTTGGCAAAAACTTTTCATTGTTTTCAATGGAACATTTTCTTAAATCTTATTACTGAGGATGAGCAATTCTAGATGGGCCCGGGACGGGGGAGACTGCTCTGTTAAACTTGTGTAGCACAGTCCATGAACATTCCTTTGAAATTAAATTAAAATATATTTCTGGGTCTTATGTGTCATTCAAAGACCGGGAGCCAAAGACATTCTTTTACAATGCTGGTGTTAAGATCACAGGATCTTTTTTCTTGTTCCAGCTTAAAATAAGGACACATCTATGAAATATTAATAGATACTAAAATGAGTTTTGGATGATTATTAAAAAAAGTATGTCAGATTTTTAACCACTCAGACCAGGAGTCTAAATTCTGTTCAATGTAGGATTATATAACATACTTTATAATTAAATCATAACTTTGGGATAGATGCTTTGGAAAACTTAATATCTTGTATTTTCTATTTCAATTTTCCAGAGATTTACATTTTAAAAAATAAGCAGTATTTGGGTTTTGCTACTAGTACTATTTTATTTCAATTATTACAATCAAATTAATTTGGTGGCATGAATAATTCTGGAATGTCCACATTTTTGTTATCACTAAAATTCCTTGTTGTCACCTGATTTAATTCTTCCAGGTTTGCAAACAGTAGGCCAGGATCCACATCTGGTAGGAACTCTTTGCTCTGCAGGTACTTTAATGTATCCATAAAAATCTTTGAAAAACAAAGAAAGAGCGAGCAATTTTTGGATAATAATTTATTTTCCAAATCCTTGAATCTTACTATTGCTACTAGTTCTTCTTTTCAGGAAGCTAATCCATTATAGTTCTAAAACAGAGCTCAGATTTCACTGAAAGACTACTTTGTTTTTAAACTAGAATTTCAGAATTATTATAGTTATGAAATTATAATTATAATTGTTATAAATAAACCTATTTATTAATAAGGGGAAACAGAGAGATTTAGACCAAAAGAATTTTAAAGTCAAGAATTAGTTATGGCTATTAGAACGGAAATAAATGTATTCCTGTCATAAGACAGTATTATAATTTAAGACAGTGGGATCATTTTTGCCATTATTAAAGGATTGGGAATATGTTATCCCTGCCAAATCTATTTCAGATCATATGGGGAACTATGAGTAAATTACAAACTGTGCTCTGACTGCCCCAAATAACCAAAATATTCTAAGAATAGCATTACATTTCAAGGACCTGTAATATATATTTATATATTAGAGAATGCATCTCAATTCCCTTCAATTTTCCCCAAACCTCCCTGTAATAACATAACACAGATGTGCTCATAATTGCTTGGAAATCTTGAATATTGCATTGCTGCCAAGTTGAAATGACAATTATTTCACAATTCAGTTAAAGGATAAAACCCTCCAAATGGCTTAATTTGAAGTAGGTGTGTATAAAATTGAGCCATATGTTTTCCTTGTGTTCTTTGTTTTATGCTGTTTTATTAAAACATTTTCTTTGAAATACCAAGTATTGATATAATGAAACTATCTTCATTGCTTTTGATTATTACATATAGTAAGTCGTGACGATGGTTATCTACCACACATCTTTATAAGAAATGCCCTGGGAACCAAGCCTTGAATACAAAGTATTGGATCAGAGACTGTTAGAAAGTGGAAATGCCATTCCATTAGTTCAAACGCCATTCAGCTAATGACAAACCATTCCAATACTGTGCCAAGGAAGTTATGAATATGTCCATAAAGTTATCAGGAAATGAGTTTGATTGGAGGAAGATTTCCCTTTGGAAAGATTCATTACTAGAACATCTTCCTCTTTCATTTGAGGAAGCTATTTCCAGTAAGTATAGTTCTCCATTTAAGTAAATGCAAGTAGTTTTTTCTTCACAAATGTATTTGTATAACTGGGTTTCAGTTCTCATGTAGTAAGGGTAAATGGAGAAGTGAAAAACAAAAGTAGTGAAGTGTTGAAGAAATCAGGAAGTGTCATAAAAAGTAGCCTCTATTTTATGAATGGCCTTGTTTGTACATAATACTGAATGAAGATTTTTTGGAATCATAAATTGTTGAACAACTTATGGTTTAACTTTGAGCTACGCAGGATGGACTTGCACATGACTTGCATAATCCAAAAATAAGCTAATCACATTATTGATGGTTTATATGTATCTGATTGATAATTGAGTTTCTCTGTTCCTAAAATAGCATTACACCAACCTTCCTCAATCCACTATGCTAAATTATACTTTCCACTTATCTAACACATATTTTTCTTAAGCCCGTGTCAGAAATTCCATCCTGGTCTACAGCAGGTTGGCAATGGAATTGGGCTCATGTTCACCTGGACTAGGGCCATTGCAAGTCTGCTTGGTCATTCTCCTGCTTCTCACTTTTTTATCCATGCATGGAAAGCAACCCTTGCCAGCCAGGACCAGTGTGGACCAATCTGTCAATGTTTTTCTTTCCTTTCATGGGTTGTTCATTTCTTACTAGTTTCTATGATTCTCCTTATTGTCCCAAATGTTTGCACCTCTTTCCCCACATTTGCTCCTTTGATCCCAATAGAGGTTATTTGCCCTCTTCCCCCCCCATTATGTTCTTATATTATGATAATCAGAGCAACAAGAGCAACATTTTTTACTCCTGTTTCCTCTGCAGTGCCATGGAAACTGTTTAGCAAGAAAGCACTTGAGTTCAGCTTCATAGAAACCAAATATCTATGTCTCTCCATCGCAACTTAAAACTTTTTGTTTTTGTTTTTTTAAGGAAGGATAGCTTTACAGAACTGTGCAGTTTGAATGGAGCATAAGCTTCTGGGGTTAAGATGAGTCGCTGACTTAATGGATTATTAACTTTAATGTCAATATTATTTTAAAAAGAGTGGCTATCCAGAACACAGAACACAGAAGCCTAGCAATCCAGGATGAAATGGCTGCAAGGGAACCAACCAGTAGTGGGAGGGTGGGGGCATGCAAGGAATGACATCTTATTGAACATGGACTGCTACCATACTAGAATGGACCACTGGACACCATCTCTACTGAAGTGCTTTAGATAGGTCCCATCACAAAACCACAGTTTTGAGTTGACGCTGGAAAACAGAGGTAGGGGATGTGTGTAATGGGCTGAAATGAGAAGAGGACATTGTCATCCATTTCTGCACTCAGCGGAGAACAGCCCTTAGTGCTGATGGGCCAAACAGAAAGTCTGGATCTGCTCTTAGATTAAATATATCCTTTCCCAATTCATTTCATTCCAGTTGAGATTGGTTTGTATAAACTGCCAGAGTCTTGTTGAGCAATCCTTGCTATGGCTGACATCTCAGCTCAATGGAGCAAATGGTTACATAAGACCACAATCAGGTGAATGGGTAAGAGGCAAGCAGTAAAATAGCTGAAAAACTTAAGCATACCATTTTGAGAACCAGCAGATGATCAAGAAAGTAGTTGCATTCTGTTGTGAATAGCTCCCACACAGCTTCTTTCTTCTTTGTGTCTAACTGATCGCTAGTGGCTTTTGGCTCCAGTTGATACATCTTCAACATTTCATGCCATGTTTTATCCTGTAATTGTGAATATGGATATACAGTATGCTTCTTTATACATATTCATTCTCAAAGGGATCTTTGCTGTTTTAACCCCAGAATGATTGGTGATGGTCATATGTTGAACATTTATTATAGGATTAAAACTCATATAAAATAACATTAATAGTATTTTATATATTGCACTGAGGAAAATAATCAGTTAAGAGAAATCAAAGTACAAAGTTAAAACAAATGTAGCTAAAATTATATGATAAGAAATATTATACCTTTACATTGTATAATTTGTAGTCACCACACTTGGACATTTTAATGGTTAGAGTTGAGAGACAATATTCCAGCTCAGCCGTTTGTTTTTGTTTGTCTTTATTCTATTTAAAGATAAAATTCACATGTTAATTTGAAAAAAGCTAAAACCATATATTTAAACTGGAGGGAAGAGGGAAGGTTACAGATCATTTTCCAATAACCCCCCCCTTTAGAAAAATAAGATCAAATTTCAAGAATATGGAATATAGACCAAAAAATAAAGTAGACTGATCTACTAGATTAGTCAATATTGGCAAAGGAAAATAAATAGGAGAATATTTTGCATGCTTTTATTATAAATGAATATTTTCAGAATGTATTGAATGCAGACGAATTAAATGACAGTTTATTCATCCTCCTCAAATTATGAGGATATCACTTTCTCTCTTCCACTTAAGGCTTGCCTTAGCATGGTTTGTATTTTTATATATCTTACAGAAATACGGTATGAATTGAATATCAGTGCAAAATACAGGGCTGCTATGATGATAAACAGCTACCCTTCCCTGCTATTTTATAATATGTTATAAATATTATGGTGACTAACTCTTGATCTGAATCTAGAATGCAAGCCCTATTGATGAACACTAGGTGTGTGCCAATTTGAATATTATCTGTCCTCCCTCCCTCCCTTCTTTCCACCTCTCTCACTTACTACACCCACCCATCTACCCCCACCCACACTCCACCATCAACCACCTCCATCACCAAGTGACCAAGTGACCAAACATGCCTGCCAAATTAATATAATTTCACACAAGAGCACACATCCCATTTAATCCAGGGTCTAGGGAAAACATCAGGTCTTCAAGGCCCATTAAAAAGTCAGTGGGGTCAGGAAAACATGAACCTCTCAGGGAATAGTATTCCAGAGGGCAGATATTGTGGCAGAGAAGTCATAACTTCAGAATTTCATCAGATTTTCAGTGTATAAAGTATCAACTGACAGTGAAAGGGAAAATCTGCAAATTTTGCGAACTACTCACAATTCCTTTTTTAGCAAATGGCCACCATGTCCTTTTGGATTCTATTGCATGGGGAAAAAAGAAGAGCATTGCTAAAGAAACAAAAATATATATTGTAGAAAATATGATTGTGTGATCCTATTTACACAACAGAGTTAACTCAGATGATCCAGGGCTTGGAGAAAAGACCAGGTCTTCAAAGCCAATTTAAAAGACAGCAGAGTCAGAGAAATCTGAACCTCTGGGAAGGACACTATTCTAGAGAGCTAACCCACTCAAATTAACTTATAAGGTTCTGGCAGCACACAATAATGGATGTGCAGTTAACAAGTAGGCTGGCTTGGTCGCTCAACAGCAAGACACTGGTGAAGCGAGTACAGCAATGCCTGCATTTTCTGCATTGCATGAGAAAAGAACATCTTCCTTCCCCTATCCTTACCACTTTCTACAGAGGGACGATTGAGAGCATCCTGTCATACAGCATCACAGTCTGGTTTGGAAGCATCACTGCTTCAGACAGGAAGGCGGTGCAGAGAGTGGTGAGGATGGCTGAAAAGATTATTGGCAGTTCCCTCCCTTCCATCCAGGACATAGCATATAAGCATTGCTTGAGCAGGGTCCGCATGATTGTCTGGGCCACTACACATCCTCTTCACGACCTGTTTTCTTTGTTACCTTCTGGGAGGAGGCTTTGTGTATCCGAAGCAAAACATCCAGATTCAGTCACAGTTTTGTTCCATACAGTATTAACCTTGTGAACTCTAAAGCTTCCTCCTTCTGGTATGTATTCAAGATGGACAGTGATGAATATTTATATGTCACTTATATGTAAGGGGGTAGGTCTATACATATGTTGTATATAGTATGTTTAAATGTGTGTTATGTATGTGTACACTTTGAGAGCAAGCAACT